ATCCCACATTTTCAGTATACCATCACTCTTATCTCAGTGCACTCTTATCTTAGTGCATGGACCAGTCCCTATAAAGCTGCTGAGTCCATCTGGTCCATGATGTCAGGCTCCGTCTCTTGTAACAGTCTTCCAGAGCAGGAGAGACTGTGTGCAGTGTTCACACTCGTGAATAACCTGGGCAATAGTGTCCATTGCTAAGTCCACCCCTCGATCATGAGTCCATCTCTGTGTTGCATCTCTGCTCTGATGGCCTGAAGTGCCATGGGCCCACCAGGCTCAAAATAATTCACTGTCCCCTTAAGCAGTTTCTGCAGCTTGTTGCTGGGGACTCCATACAGCTGCCTTCCATCTCCGATGCTTCCAAAGCACTGGAGGGGCCCAGTGGACTAGATACTTGCCCATACTGTCCCACACATCCTGCCACTCATGACTGTCCAGCTTTGGGGAAAATCTCTTGGTCCCCCCATATCGTCGTCTAACCCCAGACAAGACCCAAATCTGACTCTGCTTAACTTTTGAGATCAGACAAAATGGTTGTGGGTAAAACACAGTCTGTGTGTGTGCCAACATGCTGATCCCCATCACAATCAGCAGGCAGGTACCAAGGACACCCAAAGGCCATTCAAAACCTTCAGACCTCTCAAACGATGCTGCTGTACTTGTCACTGGGGCTGGTGTAGCTGCTGTGCTTGTCACTGGGGCTGGTGTAGCTGCTCTGCTTGCCGGCTCTCCCACCGCCAGCTTCTCTTTTCCTGAGTCCAGATCTTCCTCCTCTGCCTTGCTGGGAAATGCTGCGTGGTCTCCTGCATCCTCCTGGGGCTCGGCGGGCGGCTGCCGGGAAACGCTCTCGGCTGTCGAGGGGCTCGGCTCGGCCGCGGGGCTCGGCTCCTCCGCGGGGCTCGGCTCCTCCGCGGGGCTCGGCTCCTCCGCGGGGCTCGGCTCTTCCGGGGGGCTCGGCTCCTCCGCCGCCTTCTCCCGCTGCTCGGCAGCCACCTCCTTCCTCTCCTCGACCGCCCCGGCCTCCTCCACCGGCAGCTGTCCCCTCGCGGCCTCCGGCCCCGCTCCCGCCGCCGCTTGGTCCCCGGGGCCGCTCTCCCGGGCCGCTTCAGCAGCCGCCTCCTCCCGGGGCCGCTCCCCCTCGGCTCCCCGCAGCCTCACGAAGATGGAGAGTAGGGTGAGGGCCAGGGCAGTGAAGAGCAGCCGGACGGCCAGGTACAAGTCCACGGCCACGTCCGTCCCGCCCTGCTGCTGGAGCCCGCCCGTATTACAAGCCATTGCCATAAAGCACAGTGAGACAAGAACCTTAGCCCAGGCCCCATACTTGATAAACACTATCACACCAAATACCGGCTCTACGTAAGTTACAACGGTCTGAAGCTGTGAGATCAAGCGAAACAACTCTGAGAGCCAATAAATCGTCATTGTGATGAGTGACTATTAATCCAGTCAAATCTGTCGTTATCTCAACCCTTCGTGCCCCACGTTGGGCACCAAAAAGAACTGTCGTGGTTTAAACCCAGTCAGGTAATTCGTTCGCTCACTTCCCCCCCTTTTCTTGCCCTCCCCCTGCTCTCGGAGGGACGGAGAGGAGAATCGAAAAGAATGCAACTCCCACGGGTTGAGATAAGAACAGTTTAGTAACTAAGGTATAACACAGATCACTACTGCTACCACCAATGATAATAATGATAAAGGAAATAACAAGGGAAGAGAATACATCATCTCACCACCAGCCGACCGATAACTCGCCCCCCCAGCCCGACCAAGCTCCGACCGATACCTCCTCCAACCCCTGCAGTCCCCCAGCCCTTCAGGCTAACTCCCCGTTACCTCCTCCAACCCTGCAGACTCCCAGCCCTTCCGGCTAACTCCCAGTTACATCCTGGGCATGACGTGCTGTGGTATGGAATACCTCTTTGGTCAGTTTGGGTCAGGTGTCCTGTCTCTGCTTCCTCCTGGCTTCCCCTCCTCCCTGGCAGAGCATGAGGCTCACAAAGTCCTTGGCCAAACCAAAACATCGCTTGTTATCAGCTCTGTTCCCGAGCTGAAAGTCAAAACATTGCACTGCACCAGCTACCAAGAAGGGGAAAAATGACTGCTACTGCTGAACCCATGACAAGAGTGAAATCAGTTGTATTCTCAAACACATCAACCAGTGCATCATGTAAGTTTGGGTGCAGAAGACCCCCAACATGTTGTCCATACTTAACCAAAACCCGAGCATCTACCCCACATCTCCTTTCTGTCTGGCCCTAAACTTGCACCATTCAAGATCATTATATTTTTGTGAGCCTTTTTAATGCCTCCTTCACCTCTTTATTCCTCAGGCTGTAGATCAAGGGGTTCAGCATGGGAGTCACCACAGTGTAGAGCACCACAGCCCATTTATCTGCTGCTCTTGAGCTGTCTGAGCTGGGGAATAAATACATAAAAAAGGATGCCCCATAGAAGATGCTGACAGTGGTGAGGAGGGAGGTACAGGTGGAGAAGGCTTTGCGCTTGCCCTCGGCTGAATTGATGCTCAGGATGGTGGGGATGATGGCCACGTAGGAGAGCAGGATAATCAGGATGCTGGACACACCAAAGAGAGATGCTGCAGTGGTCAGGATGATGTGGCTGAGTTTGGTGTCAGAGGTGGAGAGTGAGATGAGAGGGGAAATGTCACAGAAGAAGAGGTTGATGACACTGGAGCTGCAGAAGGACAGGGTGGACATGCTGATGGTCTGTCCCATGCCATTGGTCAGCCCCATGAGGTACAAGGCAGTCACCAGCTGGAAACAGCACTTAGGGGACACGACAAGGGGGTACAGCAGGGGAGCTGGTACCATTGTCCATCAGCAATGTCAGGCACCATGTACAATGAACCAGGTTTCCACCCATCTTCAATTCCTTGTACTCCAACCATAGCTCACAAGTTTGGCTTCAAAGACCCGACAGAAGATCGTGGTGACCTTGTTAACAGTGAGGTAAATTCTGGCCACTACTTGTCCATCCAAACATCAATGCTCACGTTACTCAAAGTACTAAGGTTGGTCAGGCATGACTTGGCCTTGGTACCTCTATACTGGGACAGTTTTTCCACAGCTGAGACGATGGAAGGGGTGAGATTGTCTTCGAACTCTCGGAGTTTATGAACCATTTCATCCACTGTTAGTGGTACTATGTCATTCCAGGTTGCTCTTGCCAATGAATGGGCATATGATGACGGTGCATTCCGTGTCAGTTTTCGCCACATGGGTCGTGTACATTCAACTTCATCTGGATCTATGGGTGTATCCCCGTTATTCGGCTTGATGTGATAGAGCATCTCTACGATGGCCGATTCCCTCAGAGACTGGATGCCTTTGTCTATAGTAGTCCACTTGGCCGAACGACTCGTAACATCGTCCTTGTACGGAAACCTTTCTTTCACAGCTGCCAAGAGCCGCCTCCAAAGGCTGAGGGACTTTTTCTCTCTTGCAATTGCTTTGTGAATTCCCCCTTCTCTAGCAAGTGATCCCAGCTGCTTGGCTTCTGTACCTTCTAGTTCGTGACCATCGGCCCCATTGTCCCAGCATCGGAGTAACCAGGTGTCCTGGGTTCAGCAGTAGCAGTCATTTTTCCCCTTCTTGGTAGCTGGTGCAGTGCAATGTTTTGACTTTCAGCTCGGGAACAGAGCTGAGAACAAGCGATGTTTTGGTTTGGGCCAAGGACTTTGTGAGCCTCATGCTCTGCCAGGGAGGAGGGGAAGCCGGGAGGAAGCAGAGACAGGACACCTGACCCAAACGGACCAAAGAGGTATTCCATACCACAGCACGTCATGCCCAGGATGTAACTGGGAGTTAGCACGGAAGGGCTGGGAGACGGCAGGGTTGGAGGAGGTATCGGTCAGAGCTTGGTCGGGCTGGGGGGGCGAGTTATCGGTCGGCTGGTGGTGAGATGATGTATTCTCTTCCCTTGTTATTTCCTTTATCATTATTATCATTGGTGGTAGCAGTAGTGATCTGTGTTATACCTTAGTTACTAAACTGTTCTTATCTCAACCTGTGGGAGTTGCATTCTTTTCAATTCTCCTCTCCGTCCCTCCGAGAGCAGGGGGAGGGCAAGAAAGGGGGGGAAGTGAGCGAACGAATTACCTGACTGAGTTTAAACCACGACACCAGGTGATGATGTGCTCCCCTGGTTGACGGGTAAAATCTTTTCGCATATTCCGCAGCTCGGTTGAGGTCCGAGGTCGAGAAGTTACCAATTTTTCTTCTTCTTCTTTGTCATGTGACGATGACTCCTGATCAGATTCTGGACCGGGTGGTGAATTCATTGGTTCTTCATCTCGCTTCACCCTTCTTGCCTCCTTTTT